GTTGTTGGCACATCCCCAGTAGGAGATGTGCAGGAGGCAGCTGGTCGATGTTTCTCTCCCATCGATGTTTCTAACTCTCCATCCCTCTCCCTTCCTCTCTATAATAAAAACCAATTATATATACACACACACACACACACACACACATATATATATATATATATATATATATATATATATTTTTTTTTTTTTTTTAAGTAGTTTGGCATTATCCAGTTATGTTGCACACTCTGGTACCCAGCAATTCTATTTCAGGGATTGATTCTCCAACCTAGCTAAAGCCCTTCTCCCCACCAAGAACATTTGGAAATTGTTTAGATACACACATCACCACCACCACCACCACCATTCAATTGTCAGAGGCCAGGGATAATAATTATTATCAGAAGATTTGAACAAAAATAAAAAATGAAATCACTAGAAACAGCCCAAGAGTTATCAATAGAAAAATACATACTTTGCATTAAATGGACTACCACCCAGAATTGAAAATAAATGCACCTTAGCTACAAATCTCAACGCAGCTGGTTCAAATGAATATAATGCTGAGTGAAAGTGAGAAGATACAGGAATATAAACAATACACTAAAAATTTATATAAAGAATAAAAATAGTCAAACTAAATAATTAATTTGGAGATATTTATACCACACATACTAGAGGCCGATGCACAAAATTCATGCAAGGGTGGCCTTCACAGCCCCAGCTGCCTTGCGGCCTTACCCCCCACCCACACTGAGTTGGTCTGGCACTGCCTGCATCTGCTGCCATACACCTTCCCCTAGTTTCATGGAGCTCCCCGCTCCCCGATGGATTGCCCCACAGAGAGTGGCCTGGGCCTCCCTCTTTGGGGCGATCATGGGGCGATGGTGGCCCCCCTCTGCCATCTGATCAATCGCATCGCATCCACTATGGCTGGCCTGGCACTAGCGGGTGTCATTGTGTGATAGTCCGGACAGTCATTCAGCTGTTTGGCCATTCGGTCGTTTTGCATATTATGCTATTATTATTATAGATATAAACAAATCAACACTTACATACACAAAAGCAAAGGAATGGCTTAACAACCAATCAGGATAAGGTTATATCTGCGAGAAGGAATAAGATAACCTTTGGTAAGGTCACATAAGTCTTGCTACATAATGACCGCACTTTACTTCTTTAGATGGGTAGAAGGTAGAGGTATTCATTTTAATTTCTTTACTCTCTATGTATATGTTTTTTATACTCTTCACATTAAAAAAAATTTTTCACAATTGGAAAAAAGCCAGCTTAATTACATATTCGCTGGGACCCTTGACCTTTCTAAGTTAAAAATAGTAACTCCTCCTATCTTATAGAGCTGTTCTGAAGTTCAGAGGAGATAACAGGTGTGAAAGTGTGAGTGACTGTCAAGGGGGGATCTATTATACCAGAGCTAACACAGATAAGCAGTTCCCTAAAGATCTCATCCTGGTACTATCCTGGATCTCAGGGTCCAGAGTTGCTGGGCGCTTATTAATCAAGCCAAGAAGACAGTAGGACTCTCTGTTTCCTCACTACAAAATGGGGAAACCCCAGTCCAGTTCAGCCCACAGGAGTATCATAGCAAAGTGAGAGCAAAGTATTATGTACAATACAAATAGAAGCTTTTATCGTTATTGTTATAGTGCCCAGAGGACTGAAAGGGAATGGAAGTCAAGTCAAAGAAGAAGAAATTATTTAGAATGGGTATTTTATTTTACTTCTCTCTTTTTTTTTTCTTTCAATTTTATTTTTCATTGGTTTCAGATGTATAGCTTAGGGGAGAGACAATCATATACTGTACATGCCTGGATATATCCAGTATCCCAACTGGCACCATCCATAGTTATCACAATATTATTGACTATGCTTCACTTACATCTCCATGACTGTTTTGTAGCTATCAATTTATATTTCTTAACCCCTTCACCTCTTTCACCCATCATCCCTACCCCGGATTCCTCTGTCTATGAGTAGCCCCTGGCATTTTTAACTTTAGGCTAACATGATAATGATGATGACATGATAATTACCTCCAAATACTAGCTGCAAAAGAGGCATAAGATCTAATTGTCCAGGGTTCTTCAGAGGGCAGACTGGGGAGACTAAAGAGAACTTAAAAGTACATTCAGAGTATCAGAGAGAACTCTGTGACACTCAGAGTGAGGAGAGATAGAAGTGACTGTGTGGTAATTCTCCTCAATTTTATTCGTTTTAATAATTATTCAGATAAAAACAGAGTTAGCCCCACAGTGTGGCTCAGTGGTTGAGCATAGTGCCATGCACCAACAGGTCACCAGTTGGATTCAAGCTGAATCCCCAGTAGGGGATGTGCAGAAGGCAGCCCATAGATGTTTCTCTTTCTCCTGCTCTCTTCTTCTCTCTCTAAAATATACTTAAACAACAACAACAAAACACCCACAAGTAAATAAAGAAATATAGTTAGAAGGAACTTCTATTTTGGATGAAAATACAAAATGTTAAAGTAAATTCTGTTAAAATAAAAATACAGGTAATTTGGGGTCAAACTTATTTTGAAAACTAGCTTACTTAAAACATCTTACAAAAAAAGTAATACTGTTTTTATTTAACTTCAAAAACATTTCAGCATTCTAAACATACAAAAATGAACAAAACGTTGCAAATTGTGTTTGGTACAGAAGGTTCTTGAACTTTCATTGGTGCAGTGACTCTTCACTTGGTTGACAATGAAGAGTTGTAGTTTGTTTTAAAACAACAGTTTAAAACTATCACACATCTCATGTCAGCTATCCTCCCTTTTTCCAGAGCTAAGAATGGCAGGGCACTATGTCACTATGTACAAAAACAAGACAACCTGAGGCTCAGTGGATGCCCACTGCAGTGTCCACAGGACCAGCCTCGGCGGCAGCCCCTCCAACAGGCATCTTCCTCACAGCCTCAACGCCAAGCAAAGTGCATCAAGAGCTTGTCTTGATTGTTTGTTCTTTTTACAAACTGTAGATATGTACAGCTTACTTAAACATCTTGAGACTACAGGTAACTTATCTTTTGGCGCTTCAGTTTCCTCATCTGTAATAAGGATACTATGTTTCCTTCAAGGTTATAGAGGAAAATCGCTGTGATAATAGATTAAAATTGCCTGGCAGCAGTATTAGGTGCTCAATCAGCTGCTATGATTTTAAAAATGTATTATTGAACCCTTCCAAACTTGTTCACAGTTAAATAAAGCAACTAACATCACTACAAGAAAACAGAAACTACCTGCACGTTTGAAAACAGCTGAAGGGAAAACCTATATCTGTTACTGAAGGGAAAGCAGCAAAACTGATATCCCTGGCTCAGTTTCCTTAAAATGTTATCAAGTGGCCGCTGCTCTCCCCCAGAGGGCCCTCAAACATGCCCTGTATAGAAACCTTCCCCTGCAAAACCCTTTGAAACGCCTGATCCTAAAGCACTTTCCAGTTTGCTGGGACAGAATGAAGACAGGGATTGCCAAGATAAGACCTGATACAGTAAACTACTTCATATTCATTGTAATTTCAGGTCATTTGTTTTTAAAAATACTTAATGTAGGGGCGAGGGGAACAACACATTCAGAGCTGTTTATACCCTATAAATTAAATCTGAAGAAACCAAAATAAAAATTTTAGTGACTATAAGCAGGAAATGCTGAACTTGAAGACTACCTCAGTAATTTATTATAAATACCGTAACGAACTATCCCATATATAACTTCACTCTAATGACACTTGCGAAGCTTTTGGCTGTTGGATGGCATTTCTCAAGTTCAGATCAAGTCAAGCTGTTTTCCATGAATAAAATACAGGCAGCATCTCCGAGGTTTAAGTCATTTTGCCTTTGATAATAGTGATCTCTCCACTCTGTGGATGTTCTCTGCTACACTCTGGCTCTTAGCTTGGTCGTGTTTATTACTTAAGTTTCCAGCCCAGCTTCAAATTACCCGCTGACGGTCACACAGTGTAATGAAGTGAGTGGATTAGCTGAAATCGAAACCCAGGAATCCTCTTTGCCACCCTTCCTTCGCAAGTGCGGATCAATTATTTAAGCCCAAGCTCACCAACGCTATATTTTAATTTAGGAAGCAGTCCATGTGAAGCCAGCTCTAAATAAAGTGGGCAGCGCCTGGCTTCAGAACTTTTAGACCTTACAGAGGATGGAAAGAAGATGGCAGGAAACCAACAGGGGAAGAATATAAGAGGAGGGGAAGAGAAATAAAAGAATAAGAGAAGTCCGTATCTATTGAGCTGCTTCTATGCCCAAATTTTCCATTCCACATAAGGGTTTCATTTATGCTGTTCATTTGACCTGATTTCATTTTAAAAAACATATTTTTTATTGAAGTTTTACAGAAACAAAGGGAGAGTTAGAAACATCGATCAGCTGTCTCCTGCACACCCCCTATTGGGGATGTGCCCGCAACCAAGGTACATGCCCTTGACCAGAATCGAACCTGGGACCTTTCAGTCTGCAGGCCAACGCTCTATCCACTGAGCCAAACTGGTTTCAGCTGATGTGATTTCATTTAATTTTTCATAATCTCATAAGGCAGATATTCTATTTCCTGCATGGAAGACTGGGAACCTGCAGCTTCAAAAGACTAAGTCGCTTACCGAGGGCCCCCAAGTAAGTAAGAAAACCAGGATTGGATGTGCAGCTTGTCTGATACCAACACCTGGGCAGTTTTTCCTCTATCAGATGAAATAATTTCCTAATACTTTTAAAGATGAGCAGTTTAGGAATTTCCAAAACAACAAAAGAAATGCAACATAGTTCCACAGGGTAGCACACATAAAAGAAAACCATCCATCTCACTGTTATTTCTATGGCCTGTGAGAACCTGAAGTGAGAGGTTGTCACCCTGTGCTTACGATGCCTGTGGATTCATACGCAGGTAACAGGAAACCCACATGGAGGTTGCGTGGAAGAGAATAATGAAGCCACATCTAAGAGCCAAGACCGAGACAGAGAATGTCAAGCAGTAAGTAACCTCTTACCTGCTGCACTTCACTTTCTCCATTTGAGATTTTCTCAGTGTAAACAAAGGAGTTGAATATCCGCTGCAACAGAAAGAAAGGGAACACACATTAGATTTTCTAAGTAACACAGCCATCGGAGTGTGTGTGTGTGTCTGTGTGTGTGTCATTTGTTGACGCCACAAATAGAGTCAAGCTCAAAAGCTTTAATTAAAATACAGTAATTTTACACAGAGGAATCCAAATATCAGCCAAAGTCAATCACGCTTACATAAGCAATGCCTAGGCACTTCTGTAGTGAAATAAACCAGATGCTACACTATATTTTTCATTTTCAAAAATACATTTAATTATAGACTTCCGGAGCCCATGCCATTCTATCCGAGCTGTATAATCTGACAGAGTTGTGTTTATCATCTAAATCCCGAACTCCCTGAATGCCGCAACTGTTTACAGACACCAACATCCAGTGTCACAGAGCTCCTTACAGAGGATTCTTTCCATATTCTCCCCTGCCCCTGTTCGGCCAGTCCCTGCCCATAGTATCGATCACCATCACTGCCTAAGCACCCCCTCGGGAAAGCAACACAACAGGGCTTTGCCAAGTCTGTGTGGCCTGAAGAGAAGATGCAGTTCTTGCAGGCCAGGAAATGGGACAGCCGTGCCAAGACATGAGTCCAAACTGTGACACACAAGCACACATTCTTCCACCGGGTTCCGCCTCCCCAGTGCCCCCTGCTCCTTATGTTGCCGGCATTGAAAATGCCTCTGCAGACTTAGGACTTTATCAAATCCTGCCACTACTAAGCAATCACAAGAGATTAACATATAACAATGAGGGGAAAAATGAGAATCAAAGATATGTGTCTGGGACACACACACACACACACACACACACACACCAGCAGCAGCCTCATCATTTATCCTAAAACTTTAAAGATGCCTCTGGAACTCTCCAGATGAGTAAGTAAGGAGTCAGACCTGGAGACGTCAGCCAACAGTTCCCTTTTGCCTTTCGATCTTCCTGCCAAAGGTTTGTCAGCATCTGGGACAGCTTCCCAGACAACCTTACACACCTACATGGTTGTGATGAGGTAGACAAGTGCCAAGTTCATCAAGTGCTGTGCCAATGAAGGCAGATAAAGGTGCTGGGTGGTGGTGGTGGTGGTGGCGGGAGAGGGAGGGAGCAAAGACTCTTGGGAAGAATTGGGATGGAATTACAGTCTAGAACATTCTAATTATGAATCAGTATACTCTTCTAATGCTCCCCTCATTCATTCAATAAATATTGTTGTTTTTTCTCTTTCTTAAAAATGACTCTGCTGCCGAAACCGGTTTGGCTCAGTGGTAGAGCGTCGGTTTGTGGACTGAAAGGTCCCGGGTTCGATTCCGGTCAAGGGCATGTATCTTGGTTGCGGGCATATCCCCAGTGCAAGAGGCAGCTGATCGATGACTCTCTCTCATCGATGTTTCTAACTCTCTATCTCTCTCCCTTCCTCTCTGTATAAAATCAATAAAATATATTAAAATAAATAAATAAATAAATAAATAAATAAATAAATAAATGTTTAAAAAAAAAAAAAGAATTTGATTTTCAAAACCTGCTCAGGACCAAGAAAACACTTCTATTAAGAACTAGTGGTCCGGTGCTCATTTTGGCAGCACATATACTAAAATTGGAATGATACAGAGAAGATTAGCATGGCCTCTGTGAAAAAATACTAGTAGCCCGGTGCACAAAATTTGTGCACATTAAAAGGGAATTAATTAGAGGAAAGATTTTAATATTGCTATTTGCCCTTTCTCTATAATGGAAGTATCAGAGATGAAAGAAAATTAGTAAAATGTATATGAAAATATCCTTCCTGTCAGAGTCTGGGGTGTGCCACAGGACCCAGAGCCAAGTCCCCGCCCACCTGCATGTGCCTCAAAATTGCAGGAGACCCAGACCCAGCTGACCCCACCCCCATTGGGCGAGATCCAGACCTGGCAGGACCCACCCTATGGCTGCGTCCACAGGGTAGGGGACGCAGCCATAGATCCCCAGGCCTGAGGCTGGGCAGAGGTGCAGCCTCAGGCCCCCATCAAGTCCTGCCAGGCAGGGGAGGGGAGGGGGCGCACAGCAGCCTCAGGTCCCCCATCAAGCCCCGCCAGGTGGGGGGTGCAACCTAAGGTCCCCCGCTCCAGCCAGGCACCATGCAGCTTTAGGTCCCTGCTGATTGGTCCTTATGGCATCATGGTGTGACAACCATTTGCATATTAGCCTTTTATTATTATGGTTAATATAATTTATGTAGTGTCTCAAGATTTTGGTGAGTGTGGTCAACTTTGTATCTCATTCATGGCAATGACATTCCAGTGTTAAAACAAGAGTGGATTCCTCAGCAGTAATAAGGAATATATGTAGGGACCTGACTTGTCCGTGAGGCTGTTTCAGTCCCTGTTTTACTCACTTATTGTCGTAACAATTATTAATGATGATTGCTAATACTTTTATGTGGATGTTTTTATGCCTTATAAGCATTTCTACACATTCTACACCTTGTAAGTATAGATGGATAAAAGAAAAGTTTCAAAGCAAGAAGAAAGTTACAGAGATGAGCAGGAGTGACTCTGCAGACTGCCTTTTCATGTGGCCCTCTAGCCCCTCCTCCAGGAGTGAAAGATGACCTGATCATGGTTTGGGGCTACCACCAAAGCCAAAAATTTTGTCCTTCTCTCTCCCCTGTGGGAAGGAGTATTAGTGAGAAACTGGTAGAACCTAACAAGTAATTCATAGCTAAGCAGGTCAGCCAGTGGTATCTGGTGCAAGGTTAAAAGCTCAGGCTTATGTGTGTGCACAAGACCTCAAGGTACAGAGCGAATTTCCACTATACTCTAACTCAGTGACTTTCAACCAGTGTGCCACAAGAATTATTAAAACATGCAATATCTGGCTACTTAGGGGCACTGACCTTTTTTCCCTTAGTCAAAAAAAAAAAAAAAAAAAAAAGACAGCAGCCAGCACAACAATAGCCATATGGTGTGAATGAAACAAAATTATACCTATTTTCTGTCTTTCTGTCAGATCTGCAAATATGTATGTATGTATGTATGTATGTATGTATATATTTGGTATGCTGCAGAATTTTAATAGTTTCTGTGTGCCATGAGATGAAAAAGGTTGAAAATAGTTGCTCTAGGTCAACGGACAGTACTCGTCTTTCTGAAAACACAGCGCCTGCTAAGCCCAGCTCTCAAAGGCTTAGTTTAGTACTTTAATAGTTTATAATTTCACATACATGGTTAGATTTGATCTCCACAACAACCCTATGTTACAGGAAGGGCAGGGATCAGAAACCACTTTTATAGATCTAAAAAACGATGGCTCAAAAGTTAGAGAATGTTTCACAGGTATAAAATCCAAGTGCTGAGGTCTGAACCTATGACTTGATTTAAAAACAGACATTGCTTTTAGCAAAGCTGTCAAGTTTATTCACTTCACCTTTTTGCTCAGGATAATCTAGGAATCTTAATGCCTGTATGTAGAAAACCAAAAGGATTTGGGTGGGTTTTTTTTTATTATTATTTTTTTTTTATCCATTTATTGTAAGCAAGATCCAATGTGCTGGCATAATCTTATATATATGACCAATATTAGGAATAATTAAGAGGCCCAGACAAAGTTTTTTTTTTCCAATTACTTTCTATTGCTATGTAAAACTATGAAAAGAATAGAATACAGGTTGTTTTATTTTTATTATTTTTATGTGTGTGTGTGTGTGTGTGTGTGTGTGTGTGTGTGTGTGTTTGGGGGGGGAGGGGAGCTTTTTTTTTTTTTAATTTGAGCCAGAAATTCCAAATGATATACTAGCTGACATTTTGGTGACTTCAGGGTAAACAGTTTTTTGTTCACTGGAGAACTTAGAAAATGAAAATGAAGCCGAAACCGGTTTAGCTCAGTGGATAGAGCGTCGGCCTGCGGACTGAAGGGTCCCAGGTTCGATTCTGGTCAAGAGCATGTACCTTGGCTGCAGGCACATCCCCGGTAGGGGGTGTACAAGAGGCAGCTGGTTGCTGTCTCTCTCTATCTAGACATTTCTAGCTCTCTATCCCTCTTCCTTCCTCTCTGTAAAAAATCAATAAAATATATTAAAAAGAAAATGAAAATGGAAAAAGTTTCCCTAAAACATAAACAATGATGAGCAATCCGAAAAGACCAGCCTCTCCAGGCCTCGGGGGTGACTTCCTCTCAGGAACAGGGATAGGGAAAGGCTGGGCGTGTGGGTGGGTAACCTGCATCCTATTTCCAAGTTGTCACATTCCCTTCTATCAGCTCCCTGGAGGACAAAAGGAATTCCAGAAATCTGAACTCTCCGTTGGAGCACAACTTACAGGGAGCGTCTGAGCCCTCTCCTCAGTGCACAAACGCCGCCAATCGCAGAAACATTGCCCACCTTTGCCCGTTTTCTCTCGCACTCCTGTCAAATACTAAAAGTAAACCTAAGGTTTGCTGCACCGTAAAAAAAAAAAAAAAAAAAAAAAAAAAAAAAAAAAAAATCATTAAAACGGGTGAGGAGTTTTAAAAAGTTATCGTACCTAGAAACATTTCATGGAAAACTCGTTCATTAGCTACTTTAGTTCCACACTAAAAAGGAAACAGTAACCATGGCAAGATGCCTTATTCTTCTGCTCATGAGCCCTGAGGACTCGGATCTGAAGACAAGGCGACCTGCCTCTCGTTAATACACACACTTTGGAAAACTGCCAGCATCTTCTAACGTGAGTGATGTGCGCATCCCATGACCCAGGAGCTCCCATCCTTGATATGTACCGAGCAGATACGTGCTCCTACGTTTATAAAAGAAAAGCATACAGCTGCTCAGAGCAGCACCGCTCACAATAACCCCAACCTGGAAAACATTTAAATGCCCATCAGCAGTGGAACAGACAAGGGATGGGTGGTGTATTCACACGATGGGACATCTGGGGACGGGAAGGCACAGACAACTGCACCAGGCACCAACATGACGACTCTCACACCCATCATACTACTGAGTGACAGGAGCCAGACACCGGAAGACAGAGTGTACGGTTCCATTTGT